TTTTCAGCCGAAAACAGCAAGTTCTGCTGCGAGAGCCTGCGCGAGCCCGGCCACGCCGGCACGTGGTCCCAAGGACGAGGCGCCCGACCCCCCTGGGCCCAGGGCCCTACCTGCAGCTCCTTGTCCGAGTACTTCTGGGGGTTTTTGCTGCCTTGGCTCTTCTTCCGAAGTTTCTTCAGCTCTGCCTGGCACTTGTCGAGCGAGTCCCCCTTGCTCCTTTGCTCGGTCTGGTATTTTTTCAGCGCAGCCTGGATGCAACAGGAGAAAGCTCTGAGTAGCCAAAGCTGGAGCTCACCTCGGCCACGGCTCCTGCTGCCGAGGGTAGAACAAGCAGGACCCCCCCCCCCTTCCCCCCCCCTTTGGGAAAAGCAGGATCGCCACGACCCAGAGAGCAAACAGGGGCTGCAATAGTCTGACATCAGGGAAAATGCTCTGTGCGTGGTGATGCACGATGGCCCCCGGGGACCCACCTCACCAGCGGCACAAGCGTCCCCGAGCGGGCGCTGCGCGAGGGGGGAGCCAGGCAGCAGGAATGGGAGACACCCAGATGCCCCAACCAAGGTTTGTGCTGCTGGGCTCCACGAGTCCATAACTCACACTCAGGTACCGGGAGTCCAGCTCCACCTTCTGCTCCAGCTGCGTCAGGAGCTCATTGTGGAAGGACTTGAGCTGCGGGCAGAAAGAAAAAAAAAACAAAACAGGTTCCATGATGAGGGCTGGCAGACCCTGCACAGACAGAGCAGAGGCTGACAGCAGCAAGGGACAGACGGACGCTCAGAGGGGGACCCGGCAGGGCAGAAGCAGATGCCCAAGCAGACCAGACCCTTTTCAGCTCAGCAAATGGGCTTCAGAGGGGCTGGCATCACCCAGACAAGACCCGGAAAACCCTTCTGCTCGGCTGCAACACCAGCAGAACCTGGGGCCAGGCGGAGAGCCCCGCGCGCCGGGGACAGGGCACTCACCATCTCCTCCAGCTGGTTCTGGATCTGCCTGTGGACCTCTGCCATCTGGAAGAGCACGTCTCCTGCAAACACAAGATGTGGGGAAGGGGCTTGAGGCGCTAAGCTTGGAGGGACACCCGAGGGCTGGGGCAGGTGGCACCCCCAGAGCAGGGGGAGGTCCGCAGCCAGACCCGTGGGTGCTCCTGGAGTGCCCCCGGTGCCCATCTTCGAGGAGCTGTAGGTGGGCAGACGCTCATCTGAGACGCTTGGACGAACACACGTCTTGTGTAACACGAAGGGAAACGGGGACAAGCAGCAGCAGGAGCCCAGCACCCCAGGGCAGCCCTGCCGTGACCCACAGAGCCATCGGCCACCCCGGCTGCGCCACGGCCCTGCCCACGCCAGCCCTCAGCCTGGCTGCAGGGACGGGACAGAGGAGCCGGAGATGACAGGACCAAGGAAGGTCCCTCACCCCGACCCATTCCCAGTCCGGGTGCTGAAGGGAGCAGGCAGAGATGAGATGTGGGGATTTCAGTGGCCCGGCTGCAGCCAGGAGCTCTGCCTGGCGCTCCCCTGGGCACCAGCATCCCTCTTCCCTGGCAGCGAGGCGGCAGGTAGGCCCGGCCCTGGGACTCAGTCCAGGTCACGGAGCCGCAAACAGAGTTAAGCCCCGGGTTGAGATTTGCCTCCAAACCACCGGCCCTGTCCGACCTCGGGGCTGAGCCACGCACGGGCAGCCCTGCCCTGGGCAGCGAGGGCAGAGCCGCGGCGCGTGGCGCGGCAAACGCCACCGGTCACTCTCACCGGCGGCTGCCCACAGCTGAGGGATCCCAGTTCTGCTTTGGCTCTTCCTTTTTCTTTTCAAATGCAGAATGCATCAAGTCCCACACCCAGAGCGCTCTTCCTGGGAGGAAGGGCAGGGTCCTGCCTCAGCAAAAGCCCCGCCGTGGCTGGAGCCAGACACACACATGGGAGCTGCCCAAGTGTCTTTTAGGAGAGGAGCCAGTGCTACCGCCGGACTAAAAGCACCAGCTCCGGATCAGAGGAAGCTTTCAGAGAGGGTTGAGCTCTGTCAGCTGTTTGTAAGGGCTGAGTTAGGAAGCTCTTACTTCCAGCGCGGTGGGCTGCAGCTTCCCAGGAGGCTTCCAGCCTACACGGAGCTGCTTGAGCCGAGAGCCATGAGCTGAGACGCGGAGCCCGGGTTTGCTTCCACGCGGGGCTGCTCCCTCCCGTCCTGGCAGCAAACGCTGCGGTTTTGGTGTATTTAGGAGCGAAGGAAAACGTGAGTCCTCTGCGGAGGACGGGACCCTCCCGGGCTCCAGGACAACTGCGTCCTCCGTACATGGAGACAAACCTCAGCAACAGCGGGACTGGGATGAGCCAAACCAGCGTCTCACTGGTGCAAGGGAACCCCTGGGCCCTCACCCGGCACAAACAGGACAGTTTACACTGGGCCAGCCACGGCTTGGTCAGCCCGGCCCCGGCACACCACGTGCCCGTGGGCCACACGCCAGCTGGGTGTCAAAATCACCGGCCGATCAGGAACAACCTGGTCCGACATTTCTTTGCTCTTGCGGCTGGAGCAATTCGTACTTTGCACCATACACCGTGTCCCAAAACCTTCTGCAAACATCAAACCTGATCTCTTTTTTGTCCTTGGCAGGCACCAGCCCCCTCTGCCACAGGCCGAGGCAGTAACAGAACCGGCTGTGGCACCGCAGGCGCTCGGCCAGCGCCAGCTGGCACCAGGGCCACCGTCCCCCCAAGCCCCTCGCTCGGCTCCGAGACGCCAGTGACACGCAAGGCATCCCGCGGAGCCGGGAGGGGACCCGCCGGCACGGCTGCACCCCCCCGCTCCTTCGCCGGGAGGAAACCCTGTGCCGAGATTTCCGCAGCCACCGAGCCGGCTGTAACTTCTCCAGCCGCTTGGCGAGTGCTGAGCGACACGGAGCAGCCCCTGGCAGTCACACACGTCTGTGGCGAGGAGCTTCACGCACCAGCGGGGAGCTCCGGGCAAGGGGTCACCACCACGAGCCCGCCAGGAAATTGCTCTCCGGTTGGACTGCGACAGCTCAATCATGGGAAGCGCACAAATTCCCGCTGCAAGGAGGCAACGACGTCACGCCGTCGCTTGGCCGAGATTGCTTTTTCAAGAGCGTATCAACGCAAGGGTGCCTCGCTCATTATTTTCTAAGCTTGCACCCCCCCCCCCCTTCCCT